CAGAAATCATTCCAGATGTTTCACACTGAAGGAGATTTAAATCAAGGTATTAGGTACTTATAAAACTTATTTAAGGGCCAAAGGAGCAAAGATGAAGGAAGACCACTACTGTCAGCTTTCCACACTTTCTGAAAGTTGGGACATTGCAAGACCTGAAGGAACAGCTGGGAATGATCAGGATGCTTGCAGCACCTAAAGGAATGATTTTCAGGGAAATGCCCTGAGGCCACCACAAGAAATCATGGCTGTGGAAACGCATGCTTTTCTGCCCACCACTGCCAGAGCAGCAAGAATATGGCTTCTGGTTTTTGTTTTTGTTTTCCACATTCTTGATTTCATGTGAGTGACTCTCATTGGCAACAAAGAGTCCATAAATGTAGTTCCCAGGTTTCCATTCTCTGCAGTGTAGGGAAAACTGGAGTCATGGGGAATGGTCCAATGCCCATCCAGGGCAGTGGTCTATATGACCATGAGTGAGCCATCCCTGCTGCACTTCTCTGGCTCCATCTCTCCCATTCTTCTGTCATCCGTCATTCTGCTCCACGCAACTACATCTCAAATTCTAACCATACTAGTGTGCTTTGACCTCCTTCTTCTAGGAGCACTTTGCCTAGTGTCTCAAGTCAAGTTCTGTAGAAACAGAACTCAAGATGGGGATTCTTGAAAATGATTTGTTGAGAGAGTGTTCTTCAGGAAAAATCTGGAAAAAGATGAGGGAAGCAAGGTAGAGAAAGGGAAAGAACTAAGCAAGGATGTGGTCTCAGGTAAAGTCTAGCTTTGGCCTGATCCACATGGGAAGGACTCTGGTACATAAATTGAGCCAGAGTTACCCCCTTGGAGGCACCAGGACTGGCCTTTTATACCCTCCTATGATTCAGTCATTGTCTGTGGGCTGCTGGGAGAGTTGTTGTTGGCAGGTGGGCTCCCGTAAATCAAGGGTAATTGTCTAGAGAAGGCAGCTGTGAGTCCTTGTAGCCAACACTCAAAGCAATTGAAGGATGGAAGTACCAGCCAGATAAAGGGGATTTGGGGGGGGGGCACTAGAGCATCAGCTCTATCTGGCTTTCTCCTCCTTATCTCCCAAGCACCTACCATAGTCCCTGATACATCATAGGGACAAAAGAAACACCTGTATAATTGAATGAATGAATGAACCCTCGTTCTGGTGGATAACCAAAGTGCTTGCCTTCCCTGGGCTTGTGTCCATTTCTGGGAAGCCAGTTGAGCAGGGGCCATATTGTCCCACCAACCGTGGTAATGGGCAAAGCCCCAGGATGTTCTCTGTACCCCGAGTGACAGCACCTTCCAAGTCCAGGCGATCTATTAGGCTTTTCAATGCAAAGTTAGAATGAAAATGTATTTACTATTTGTATTAAAATGTAAGATACATATTTTTTTAAAAGGAATCTTAGGTTGAGTTTCACTGAGCTCTTTGCTTGAAGTACATTTTCCTGGCTTGTTACATCTGGTCTGGGTACATACTGTTATACTGGGAGCCCTGGGGAAAGGCCTACCATTTGTAATATTCATTGTGATCTAGACCCTTGTTTCATTTAGAAGAGTCAGGCATTGGATTTCAGTTCAAACACTCAAAACTTTGGAGCAAGGGCATATCGTCATTACGGCAATGTTCCTTTCTCGAATACACTGAGGAAAAAGTGAGGCAAAATTGGTGACTTAGAAAATTCTGTCTGAAGAAATAGCAAATAAACCTCCCCAGTTTGTTCTGCTTTCCAGCCGCTGGGCCTAATTTAAGCCTCATAGTATTATTGTTCATGAAGGAAAGTGGGATGGTTTATTGAGAAGAAGGACTTTTGTGTATTTAAATCTCATCTTTAGGTTTTTTTTTTTTTTTTTTAACTACAAAGCTGGTTTTCTTTCCCCATTTCTTTTCTGGGGATGGTTTCTGGCTCTGACGAGCTCTGCTTCATCCCAGGACCTTCTTGATCCTTGTTTTCTGGGGCCTTTATGAGAGTCAGGCCTCTTGAGTGTTTGGTGGGTGGATCCATTTGGAGAAGGTCTTAGAGCAGTATAAAGGGGTGGGGTGGCCTTGTGTTTCTTCTGAAGGAGATTGATGGCTAGATTCAGCCTAGCATAACATTGTGGAGTTACTAACAGTTATAGAGCTAGAAAGCCTGGGCCCTTTGGTACAATTTCAGGAAGGTAAATTTGTAAGTGGGAAAACATTTTCAGACACATCTTACAACCTGCTTCCTCGTCCTTCCCAATCACCATCCCCACCCCATTGTTTTTAGAAGTGTTTACTAGGAAAAGGAGACAAAAGGTAGTCTACTTCTTTTGCTGTACTCAGAATCTTCATATATGTTGAAAGAAGGCCAGTTTATCATCCCCTAAATATTACCACGAGAAGACGACTTCATTCATCTCCCCATGAAAAGGGAGGGTTAGAACAAATGCTTCTCTCTGTCTGCCTGAGGATGGAGAACCAACTAACCAAAAGGCTGAGTGATACTGTCTGTCACCCTATCTCTCTCTTCTGGCTGGTGGGATGTCTTGATGCACACCTGTGGCCCCTGTTGGCCCTCCAACACAGTTGGAGTCAGAATATGTTTCCAAAGGAGAAGGCAAGAAGGGACTTGGGGGCCAAGTTGCATCCTTCAGCACAGTTCACTAGAAGCCTGTATGTGGGAGGCCATTGGTACCTCACTCAGCTATTCATTAATGAAGCTGACATGTGGCTTCCCATTTGGCTTGTGGATCCTGGAGTGCTTGTGTTCCCCAGACTCCCAGCAGTGCACGGCTCCTGGATAGCTTCACTTGGATGTCTCACAGGCACTTCCGACTCTGCATGTCTAAGAGTGAGCTCCTCCTTGAACCACTTCTCTGTTTTCTGTCATGAGGCTTGGCCTCAGCATTCTTGTGGTATCCCAAGCAGAAATTCTGGGTGTTGTCAGAGGTAAGGAGGCCCTTCATGAGCTTACGTGAGTCTCCTTTCTCATCTCCTCATGCATTCTCCCGTGCTTGTCACTTAAGCCTCAGCTGAAATGCCACCTTCTCCTGCGCCTTTCAGACCCACAAAATTAGGTGCTCTTGCAGGCCCAAGACTTGCCCACCATAGTTCTTTTCCCATGGAAATGGGACTTCCTGCTCACTCTCTGTCTCTCCCACTGGACTCAAAGCTCTCATACATAGGGTCTGTGTCTTGTTCATCTTTGAATAGCAGCAGGGCATACCTGTAGTAGATATTCAGTAAATGTTTCTGGAATGAATTACAGTCAGGCCTAAGAGTACCTGAGGCTGTATAGCCTGGTGGTTAACAATCCCAGCTCTGAGAGCACTTGAGGTTAGAAGTCAGCTTTGGATCCTGAGGCCTGGGTTCAAACCATGCTATTTGTGTTATCTTGCATGAGTTCCTTAACTTCTCGGTCATTAGTCTCTTCACTTACAAGATTCTCAGTCTGAGTCTCTCCACTAACATCTATTTCCTAGGGCTGTGATGATAAAATGAGATAACCCATGCAGAGCACTGAGAGCAGTGCCTGCCACGTAAGTGTTCGGTGGTTCATTGCATGTATGAATAACATCAGTAATAATATAATTCTCATCCTTAGTGGAAAAGGAAAGGCCATAAGAAATCTTTGAAATTAGAAACTGAGCAAGTTGAGTGCCCACATAATGGCACCTCAGAAGAGGTGGAGAGGTGCATCAGAACTCAGGTCTCTAGCTATGGCAGTGAAAACATAGGAGCAGATGAGATTGCCCTGGGAAAGAAGGAACAGAGAGAGGAAAGTGGGGCAGGGGAATGGGAGCAGAACCTTGAGAAGTCCTCCATGTGACAGCTAAGAGAAGTCAAAACGGGAAAGGGAGAGAGAGGATCCAAGGAAGGGGTGATCCAAGCCATGGCGGCTTGTCAGGTGTCAGATGCCAGGGCCAGGAGTTTTATATAGATGGTCAAGGGTGCCAGGGTGGCCAGAGAGTCCAGAAGAAACTGGAAGAGCCGGCTACAGTCTGCTTAATGGGGCAGCATAGCATTGCAGTAGTGTTGAAGGAAGAAGCCACACTGCAGGAGGTTAGAGAGCGCAGGGTTAGCGACAAGGAAGCAGGCTCTCTAGGGAGGCTTGCTGTGCTATGTGTGTCTGTAACGGAGATCGGGTTCTGGGGAGTGGACTGAGGCAGCACACGGTGGCATTCACAGTGGTTCTGATGCCGTTGGTTTGTCAGCACGCTAACGGTGCGCATCTCTGACGAAGAGCAGCTGGTGGTAGCAAGTCTGGAGCTCTGGGCTGCCCGTGTCCCTCATCGTTCGTGCTCTTCCGCCTGACTGTTGGGCACCTGCTGGGTCTTGAACATGCCTCTGGGCCCTTCCTCTCTGATCCTTACGGATTTAGTCACTGATCCCATAACACTCAGTGATCTCAACTCCTCCGTGGACTCTTCATGAAGCTTTCACCTTTTAAAAAAAATTTTTAAGGTGAAGAGCCATGTTTACTGGAGGGTTTGCCTATTATGAATTGAGCATTTTTTAAATTGAAGCATTTTTATTATGATTTTGGTTTTTGTTAGAGCTCAAAGTGAAATCTTAAGTTCTCTCTCCTAGTTGGGTTTCTTCATACACCCTGTTATTTTTGGAGAAAGACCTTGTGAAGTATTTTTAGGGACCCATGTGTCTGGTGATAGAAGAAAGGCCCATAATTCCGTTTCCTAAGGCACTTGACTGCTAACCAGAAGGCTGGAGGTTCAAGTCCACCAGCCACTCCTCAGAAGGAAGATGGGGCAATCTACTTCCATAGTGATACTGCCTCGGAAACCCAAGAAGGGGTTGCTATGAGTCGGGTCTGACTCGACGGCAAACAACAACAACAAGGTCCACCAACACTGGAAGGAGAGCTGGGAGGGAAGAGCAGGGCCTGCAGAGGTGGACCCGGCCGGGCTTGACCTGAATGAGCTCCCCCTTAGTGACTCTTCCTTGCAGCTCCTCAGTGCATACTTAGGTTGTGGTGTTGCTACAATTTGATCCTCTCTCTGATCTGTTGCTCCAGTCTGAACCAACGGCCGAGGCTGAGGTGCACCCACAGTCGAGCAGAGCCCCTTCCCAGGCTGCAGAAAGTAGTCCAGCCAAGAAGGTAAGGCAGCAGCCGCAGGGATGCTCTGAGGAGCTTCACAAGCCCCACCTCGGGCTGCTTGCCTCTGTAAGCAAATTTGTCATCACACATATCACACACCTGAAATGCATGTGAATGGTCCAGATTTCCTGGAAGGGGATTTTTTTGGTAAAGGTTGGGCTCTGACTGTTCTTGAGCTCAGTGCTGTGATATCAGCCTCCCAGCTAACTGCAAGGTCAGGAGGTGCTAAGGGGAAGGCCAGATGCCTTTCGCAAAACTCCACATACCTACTGAGCTGCTGTCAGCACCTCGTGGGAGAGGTGGGAGAGTCTCCTCTCCCTTGTCTTAGGACCAGGGTCTCTTGTTGCAGCCCAGTGCCTTCCCCTCTGCTCACCATGTCCCTGGGTCCCTTGTCATTTGTTCAGGAAGCCCCACTGCTCATGTTTTCCATGTGTCTTTGCCCCCTCTTCTTGTCATCTTCTCCCAAGCCCTTCTCCTCTCAAAAGAAAGTGGCCATTGGACCTGGGGCTCTGGAGTACAGGTGAGATGGTTCCCAAGGATCAGTAGTCAGGCCAGCTGTGCATTTCCAGAAGGCACTGGGGCTCCTTTGCTTGACTCATGTAGGAGTCGGGTAGAATGATGAGCCCATGGCTAAGACCTTTTCCAACTTTAAAACTTACACTCCAAAGACCCCAGAGGGCAACAGTGGCCATCTTTGCCCTCGTTTTAGAAGAGGCCCCATGATATGAGATGCACGCAGAGTCAGTGTGCCAAAGGGGCAGGGAGGCTGCATCTTCTGACCTCCTCTAACCCCACAAGAGGAAGACAGAATCACCATCAGTAGCCCAAGGCCTATCACTGCAAGGCCAGACGTGCCACATCCCTCCAGCCCTTTCACCAACCCTGACACCAATCATTCCTCCTGTAGCACCCACCACCTCTTTGCTGGGTTTGATGATTCGCTGCAGTGGCCACACAGAACTCACAGATTATGGGGTTTATTAGGGAAGCAACGGGCTACAATCGAAGTTCAGGAACACGCTCAGTCTCAGCCCACCGTCTCTCGGCCAACAGTCTCTCTCCCAGCAGTGCGTGTCTCTTTATAAGCAATGCGTATTTCTTGCACCTCTCTCTCAGCAACGTGTGTCTCTCATGTCTCTCTCTCAGGAATGCCTGTCTCTAGCATTTCCCACCTGGCAGTGGGAGATTCCTTCTGTCTCTAGGAGGGCTCCTTTTGAGCCTGGCAGAGTAACCACTAACCAATCCCAACATCAGAATTCTATACACCTGAGAGTGAACTTCCCAGAACATTGCATCATGCTGGTTCAACAGAAATACCCCAGGTGGATCACTAGCAATCTAGAGGTACTCAGTTGCTCACAGCAAATTCTACCATGGAGTTTACAAGGACTTATGGCTGGAAAAGCCATGCTACTTAATTTACTACACCACACAGTGTGAGTTTTAAATGGCAAAAAGAGTATAGACTGCTTGAAACATTTTAGATGAAGGGCAGAAGGCTGGCCGCCTACCTAAACCTGTGTCCCTCCGGTTTTCACTGAGCCACAAACTAGCTGTGTATTCTGTGAAGTTTGACTGGATCATCTGCCTGACCTTGGAGGTTGGGGAGGGGGTCATCGGGGCGTTGTTGGCATGAGAGGAGGAGAGTCACTTGATTTTTCAACTCTTTCTTTTGGTTTTAATCCACAGGACATACCATGTTCCCAGCCCCCATCAAAGCCCATCCGTAGGAAATTCAGACCTGAGAACCAAGCTCCAGAAAACCAAGAGCTTCCTCCCACTGGAGGCGGACCAGCTCCTGCCCCCAGCATGAAACCCCATCCAACAGTCCAGAAGTAAGTCGAACGGAGGAGCCAGCCAGAAGCTTCCTTTGCAAACTGTGTTTATATTTCGACTCGCGCACACAGAAGGTGTTTGTGGCTATTGTCTTACCTTCACATCCCTATGATGGCATTAAGGTCTCTTAATCACATAGAAGAGGCTTAATAAACTGTAGGATTTCAGTATTTCTTGTCGTGGGATAAAATGTTATAGGTTATACCTGTGGCGACTGCATTGATCTATCATCCCAAATGTTGACAGCTTTGAGAGAGAAGGAGGTACTAATAATTAGGGCAGGACAAACTGTAAAGAGACTGTAACAGGCAAACCGGAACCCGTGGTCACCCTAGTTATTTTATACCCGTTCTGTGAATTTCCTGTTGACTGAATCTGGAAAGACTGGTATTAAAACATTTTGTGTTTTCCTCAAGTGTTACAGATATGTGCTGGTGCCCATGAATGTGTGCGCTCACACGCACAGAGACATTCATGCCTAATAATAAAGAAAACAGCATCATGTAGGCTGACTAAGTTAATGTAGGATTTTTGCTAAAGAAGTTGTTCTCCTATTCTTCTCCTTCAGACTTGTCTGCAGGGGCCACCCTCAAGCCTTTTAAATGCCATTGATATTTACACAAAAAGGGCAGGCCCATCAATATGATTTGTTGGGAAGAAACATCTATTAGAAGGTCTTGGAATCAATGGAATGAAAAGTATTTGAAAAGGCTCAGGTTCACAGCTTTGCTTCGGGTTATGAAATGGGAATGTCTTCAGGTGTAAATAATTCATCCTGACAAATTTGTTTCATTTGGTGGTATCTGCCTGCCTGCCTGCCTGCCTGTGGATATATGATTTCACTTTTGGAGCCCTGTGACATTAGCCCCTTGTTGACTTAACACCTGTCATGAATCACAGATTTGACCCTCCAGGGTCTAGAGTGCTAAGTCCTTTTTCTCTTTCTCTTTCTTTTTCTTTTAAACTTTTCATTGTGATTGGGCTGGACCCGAGTCCTTTTTCATTGAAATTTGTGTACTTTTCTGTAGACAGTCTTCCAAACAGAAGAAGGCTATTCAGACCGCAATCCGCAAAAATAAAGAGGCAAATGTCGTGCTGGCCAGGCTGAACAGTGAACTCCAGCAGCAGCTCAAGGTAAGGGATTCTTGCCAAATCTGTGTGAACAGGAGGCCTTGCACCTGGCTTTTTGTTTTATTTTGACCAGTGGCGGAGGATCCAGCCCCATTCCTGGTGGGAAGGCCTCCCTTTGTCCTTAGACCCCTTTTGGAAGGCACGAGTTACCCTGTGCAAGTTCCGTGGCAAGGTTCTTGCATGTTCAGAGGGAGAGTGCTCATTTTAATACATAGGCCACATATGTGTGTGAGGTCACAGGCTGCACGCTGTATGGAAGTTCAGAGAGCAGAGACAAAGGCTATTGGATGCATTCTTTGTTCTCCAAAAAGCTTCCGGGCAAACCCTTCATTGTTTAGATCCTCTCTGAATGGTGCTATCCTTATGACATTGGAAGGTGGTGGCCCTGGTGCTGTCATCTCACCTTCTCAGGGACACCACCCCTGTCCTTACCACCTCTTTCTGCTCATCGTGCATCCCCACAAGCCTCTTCTGGATCCTTCCCAGCCACACACAAACTGGCTCCCATGTCATGCCTTACGCTTGACCTCACAGCCCTCTCCAACTGCAGCCTCCTTTCTCTGATGCCCTCCCCAGCAGAGCATCTTTGGGATCGTTTTCGTTCACCGTCTCTGCTTCCCTGCCAGTGGTTTGCTCTCCTTCCAGTCCAGTGTGGCCCTGTGCCAGATCCAGCGGGCAGCAGGCTGTTTCAATATTACCTACGTTTTCAGAGGAATTCTGCGCAACTGGCCACTCCCGCGTCAGATCACTTTTCTCACGACTTTTGTGGCACCATGCTTTTCTGGGTTTCCTTCTACTTCCCTGGTGTTTCCTTAGCATTTTCTGCTGGCTCTTTCTTATCTGACTTCCCTTCTGTCTGCCCCCCTGTGCCTCGGTATTTTATTAAAATGTGCAAACATACAGGAAAGTTGAAAGAATAATTGAGTGCCTATTCATATATATCTACCACTTCAGTTCCACCGTTATCATTGTACTCTGCTGGACACAGTTTTATCACCTGTTTGTTTATCCATCCATCTGTCCATCAACTCATCGTATTTTAGGTATATTTTAAAGTGGATTATAGACATCTGTATATGCCTAAATATTTCAGCTTGTGTATCATTATTTACCAG